GCAGGATTGTCATCTGCAGTTTCTTATTAAGCTCAGTGAGTAGCTTAATTCTCAACATAGACAACAAAGATGTTTTAATCTTGATAAAATATGTTACTGCTTGCCTTGCTGTCGTAGAAGCCACCCCTACGATCATTCTGTGTTAACTGTTGAAGCCGCCGAATCTGTTCATCCCTTTCTCAAGCTTACCTATGAGTTCTTCAACAGTTACAGTAAAGGAAAATCTATCAGTTATGGAGTAACTATAAAACATTTCACTGATTTGGTAAGACATTTTTTGTGCCCTGCAGAAGAAATTACTTGGGTAGATACTCCTATAAAAAATATATATGACGCGAGAAAGTTGAAGGCCGCAGGGGTGAACTTTAGGCTACTTAAAGAAGTAGGGTTTGTCATTAAAGGAGATGAATCCCACGATTGTAATTTCAACTTAGCATGTTTTACAAGTATGGACTTGAAGCTTACACTATTCTGTGTCAAGGATGAGACAGAATGCATGGCGTTGGAGCAGTTTCTGTATCCAGACTCTGCTTATATTTGCGAATATTTTTTGTTCATGGATAAACTTGTGGACTCTGTGGAAGATGTGAATTTGCTGATTGAGAGTGGAGTTCTTGTTAACAAGATAGGCTGCAACGAAACCGTGGCAAACCTGATCAATAAACTCTGTGTGCAGATTATGGATGATGTATCCTGCTATGGTGGCGTCTGTAGGCAGCTTAATAAGTACTATGGGATCAGTTTTTGGAACCGTCATGTGGCAATCCTGAAAGGAGTTTACTTCAAGGATCTTTGGACAGGCAGCTCAACTATGCTTGGACTTTTTGTCCTGGTTTTCTCAATCATTGGAACCTTGAAGTCGCTTGAACATAATCTAATTTAAGCTTCATTTGTAGTTCTTAGTAGAGATTCATCCAGCATATGTAGTTTAATCAGAATAGTGTCATAAGTTATTTTGATTAGATTTTAATTTTTGTAACTGATGTGTGTGTTCTCTCCATTATCACCTGCAACCGGTGAAAGATTTGTTGGATTTCTGGAACTGCTACATATGCAATCTATTATGTATTTTCACACAAAACTAGTGAAAACTTTATCATGTCAGAATATTCCTCAAATGGTACTAATACTGGTGATACTTGTTGGCAACTTTTCTTGGGGAACATTTTGACTTCAATTTTGATGTCAGATACCAAAAGTCTCTTGGAATTCATTTGTCCCTATGGTAGAGGTATATTACGTACTCTTATAGATATATTAACCTATGGTGTAGGTATATTGTTCTATTGCCTATTGCATAGGTATATATATGTGTTTTCCATATGTTTAGACAATGAATAATAGTATTTTATGTACCTTTTTTTTTTCTTTTTTTATAGGTAACATACAATTTTTATTTGTCTTTTTTTTTCTTCTAACTTATAGGTAGTCTTCTAATTTATGTTCCTAACTATAGATAGTCTTTTAATTTATGTTCCTGACTTGTAGGTAACACGATATATCACTAAGTTTTTTCCATTGCTAATAATAACACTATTTACCTGTACGTTAGGTACATAATTTCACGTGGGTGCTTGCGTGAATAATTGGTATAATATGCAGTCTTTATGACAGGACCCGCCCCGAATTTCCCGAAACCCGAGACAAACCCTATGGAATTCTCGACATCACCCTGATGTCGGGCCCACTTCTGAAAACTATATCCTCTTTTCCCAAAAAGGGATAAGGATACGAGACTTTCTACCGAAAATTCGGCAGAATCCCCCTTATAAATTGAACATTCCCCAAATTTCAACATGCAAAAAATTCACATTTTAATATCCTAATAGGCAGCACACACAATATAAATTCATGCAATTCACATAAATGGCCTCCGGCCTTCAAATGATTCGAAACAAAACCGCCATCAATGTTCTTAAATCAAATTAGTGCATATATCAAACTCAAATTTATTTACGCATGCCTACTGCATTCAACCTAAGATAACTTCCCCAAATACCCGATATGCGAGGTTTTAACCTCCTAACAAAATCGAAATCCACAAATTAACAACATTCCCTTAGTCCAACCAAATAATAAGAATCTAATCAATCAAGGCCCGTTTCCAAACAAGTTTCAGGACCAACGACAAGGCCCAAGTTTAGCCCGCGGCTGCACCTAGGCGCTATCCTAGGCTGCTTACGTACCCTTACTAAGGGATCAAGCCACACGTAGTTCTTTCACTAAAACCCTTTACATTATATCAAAACTCACCAATCACAATCACACATTTCCCCATACGTCGGATCTACCAACGCCACGTATGAGGTCTGTCAACACGCCGACCACTCCTACGACACGTGCGACCTCAACACAATATCACATATCTCCCCATACGCCGGATATACCAACGCTACGTATGGGGTCTGTCAACACGCCGGCTACTACGACACGTGCGACCTCAACACAATATCACATATCTTCCCATACGCCGGATATACCAACGCCACGTATGGGGTCTGTCAACACGCCGGCTACTCCTACGACACGTGCGACCTCACAAGCATATCACATATCTCTCCATATGCCGGAACATCCAAAGCCACGTATGGGGCCTGTCCACACGCCAGATAACCTACGACACTTAGGACCTCACAATCGCATGGTGGTACTTACAGTGTAATCATTTGACAGGACCTGCCCCGGAATTCCCTCGAAATCGAGGTGAATCCCGTCTTTATGCCGACATCACCCCGATGCCGGGCCCACTTACTAAAACCCGAGACATCCTACCAAAATTTTGGCAGAGTCTCCCTTGTAAAATGCACAAACCCAACAACATTCAATCTGCATAATTTACATAATATAAATCCCAACTGCCAACATGCTTTCAACATACAACAATCCAAACTAAAGTGGCATCCGGCCTCAAGTAACAACCTAACATGGGCAATAACAGAGTATCTAACAGAATTAGTTTACAACAACCAGTTGAGTTTAAGGAATTTACACAAATCCTATCTACGAATGGAACGATTTGATCTCGAACACTGCTTGAAAGCTTCCAAGAGTAACTACTGCCTGGGGGGCGCAAAACAGAAATATGTGAGTGGACAAAAACAAAGTTTGCATTTAAAAACAACATAATGACCCCATCGTGTAAAAATTATGCTCAAGCATGCAGATTCACAATTCATAAACCAAATACTCAAAAACATTATTCTCAAAAATCCTTAAACCCAAACTCTCAAATCACAACTCCATTCCCAAAATTATACATAAATATAAATATAACATATACTTCTCTCCATACTAATGTACAGGGGAAAACAATCCAACCGGGGGATTGTTTGGCTAGTACGCAGGATTTCCAGGTGCTAACCCGCATCCAGGGATTAGTCCAACCGGGGGACGGAACTCCATAGCTCACACACCGGCACTGCCAACGACATGTGTGATGAATCAAGCAATATACATACTCTTCCCATACGCCGGCACTGCCAACGACACGTATGAGAAGTGTCTTACACATCGGCACTGCCAACGACGCGTGTAAGACCCACAATCTCATGTTTTTCCCACACGCCGGCACTGCCAACGACACGTGTGGGAAGCCTGGTAACCAAGGGATGGTACTCAACTAGCATACTCATATATCTCTCAACCATCCCTCGCACTCATATCTTTCCACAATCTCACATCAACAACTCACATATCCCACACCAAGACCATATATACAATATAGATAGTATTCCCCAAAATCCATACAAACATACTCTCAATACTCAACTATGTCAAACCGACAATATATTGCCAAAGCGCTATACGAACATCAAATTCAATAGCCAAATACATATTATATCACAATTACCATTTAAAACATATGCATAAATCCTTTATCAATAAAACCATGCATATGCTTGAAAACAAAGTCCACTCACAGGTAATCCCAAGCTGCCCGGCCCCGAGAGGGTCCTGCCTGCTGCGTACGATCGACCGGAGCACCTATTTCGAGATACGAACCCATAATTAATATAACGCACTTCGAAACGGAATTTCACAAAAGAAAAATACTTAAATCCCCAAGTTCATAGTGCGTGAACGTCCAATGGGATATCCTATGGTCCGGTTATAGGTTTAGAAATCGCTTACAAAAGAACGGTTATCGCTAACCCACAAACTTTAAATTATTGAATCGGAACATCCGGGGCTCCGATTCACGATCCGCGAATCCCTATAGGATTCTAAGACATACTTCAATTTGGAAACAATCCAACGGTTAGAACCTATCGAACCTAGATAACGCACAATATGCGAAATCCGTTTGATAGTCAAACAATGTTCGAATTGAGATCCGCGAAATCCTACGCACTCGTGACAACCTAAGGATCTCATCAGAACTTATTGCAGCTCCACCACCCTTTCCCACGCTCCGCCACACGCGCCGGCAGTGAGTGGGTGTGTAGAGAAATTTTCGGCGACGGAAAATCTCCAAATCACAAACTACACTTCCTATCCTAGATACTACTTGACGAATGGAGCATTTTATTCAACTACGGCCAAGCCCAATTCAGACGGCAAGGGGCCGGAATTTCACATTGAAAACCGGCCAAACCTAGGTTTCGAAATTAGTTTCCCCAAACTCCAAATCGATCAAATCCTAAGCAACAGGCAGCTAGAACGTACGGAGAGGATTCGAAAACATACCTAGCTCAACGGGAATTCATGCCGGAATCGCTGTACCGTCGCAGTGAAAATCAGGAAGAAGACCAGTCAAAATCGTCGGCTGGAATCGGGTTTTCCGGCATTGAAAACCCGCGGGTCTTGAAGAATCGATCGGGACCGGTCTCGAGGGCTGGGGTGGCCGGACGTGGCGGCTGGGTGGTGGTTTCCGGTTCAGGGAATAGTGACGGGGGAGGGGGTTTCGCAAGCAGAGGGAGGAGAGCTCGGGAGAGAGAGAGAGAGAGAAGATGAGGTAAAAGTGAATTTTTCAGATTTTTACTCTTAACTCTTTTTGAAATAATTACAATTTTGCCACCAAACTTATTTTGCTCGCCATTTCTTTGTTACAACTCTGACTCAAGCCTACCGCATGTCTACGGATTCGTCTCAATACCACCTATGCAACCAAACCACTCGTGGTTCCAAAATCCTTCCGGATAAAAAAATGACCCAATTTACCCTAAACCCAAGGGTAAATTCATAATTTCACTTAATTAAATTAAAATAGGAATAAATTTGGAGTCGAGGTGTTACATCATTATCCGGGGAGGTATATAGGGTAGTGCGTATAACACTTCAAACTGACAATCTAAACTCTTCTTATATAAACCCCCCATTAAAATCATCAATTAATGATCAAGACCTATCTCTACGGTCATTCTAACCCTCATGGGAAGGTAGAACTATCTTAAAAGTCTCACAGTCAACCTAGGGTCAAACTATCCAAACTTGGTCAAATGGGGCCACAACCTCCAAATTCCGATCTGAAAGTTCCTATAGGTTCTACCAGGTCTAGAACACATGTCCTGCAAGGTTGGTCCAGATTGGACGGTCGGATCGCTCACGATCGGACGGTTAGTGAAACCCTAGCCCTAGGGTTGGCATTTTCGGAGTATCCGGGACTCCGTTTTACGATCCGTCGAATCCTACATGATCCTAGGAATGTCTAGATTAACATATTATCAATTCAGGACCATCCAACGGTCTAAACCTAGCGAACACGGATAACGTGCAATATGCGATATCCGTTCGGGACTCTAACGGTATCCAAATTGGGATCCGAGCACACCTACGAGCTCGTGACAACCTGAGGATCCCATTGGGACAAAAATGCCCCTCAGCTACAGTGTGTGGGTGTCCAAACTGATTTCGCAATGCAGGAAAACTTCCAAATCGAGAGCC